GTGGAGCACCTCTGCCAGGGAATTTCCTAGTCTGTGGGCAATAAAAACGCGGCATCCACTCACCCTCTGCGCTTTCACTGGGAGCTGCGATCCTGAGCTGTTCCTAAACGGCCATCTTGGATCAAGATCCCCCTCCTTTGTCTTTAGGGCTCAAAGCAAGATGCATGCTTTTGTTTTGCAACATTCTATTGAATTTTCTGCTTAGTGGATTTAGTTTAACTTGATGTAATGCTATTATTTTTCCAGTAGTCAGTGTTGTCTTATACATTTAGTAAACAGTCAAATTATATTATTTTGTTTTATGGGATTTTAGCCTGCTTTTGTAATCTGGCAGCACTGGGATCGGAAAAAGAAGATCAGGACAAATAGCAATTGAATAAGCCCATCTTACCGGGACCACTGCTTTTGGTACTGTTATTTTCTTTGTAGCTGTGGCCCTCCTCTGAAATGGAAGTCAAGTCCATCATCACGTTATTCTTAAACTCCCATCCACCATAAACATAGACCTGTATCTTAATTTTTGGGGGAAGATTTACAAACCCTCTGCTGTATTTTACCAAATCTAATTCTAATAATACTATAATCTCTAAAATAGGACACATAGGGCATTCTTAATAGTTTACATTCATTTGGTACTTTGCATCTTATGAATAGTATTTTACAAACTCAATCTCACTTAATCCTCAAATAAATTCCACGAAAAGGGTATTATTACTCATATTTTATAGATGAGAAAACAGAGGCTCAGTGAGGTAAAGGAATTTGCCTAGGGCTGCACAGCTATTCATCCTCAAAGCTGGAACGTTACCCCCATCTTCAGAAACCACTTTCGTGCTTTTGCAAGTATCCAGCAAAATACCTACTCTGGTTGCTTTCCATATATAACAATCAGGACAAATTTAAAAGAGGGAACCGTCCATATGACTCCTGATTCAAATGTTTCAGCATGCCTGATTTCAGAGTGAGTAAAATAGTCTATAGCTTGACAATCATGGGTTTCCACAGTCTTGTTTCAAACTTCGCTGTCAATTCTATTATTCTCCAATCTCTGTATGTGCTTTGGCTCTAGTGACACTGAGCTACTTTTTTCCTAAGAAATGATAAAAATTAAAATTGTTAAAAAAAATTGGGGTCATCAATTGATTTTGACCAAGTCCCCACTGTGAGTTAGCTACTGAGAAGGCACAAACAGAAAGAATAATTCATGTTTATTGAGTGCCTGCCAGGATTGACACCTTTACATGTGTTTTTTTAAATTGATACATAATAATATATACTTACACAGTACATGTGATATTGTGATACATGCATACAATACATAATTATCAAATTGGGGTATTTAGGATAACCACCATTTCAAACACTGATCATATCTTTGTGTTGGGGTCATTTCAAATCTGCTCTTCTAGCTCTTTTGAAACATGCAATAAATTATTGTCAACTATAGTCACTTGACTATAGTTAACTATTGGTCAATCATTAACTGTAGTCAATAATTGACTATTGCCCAATTGAAGGCAACGTTATTCCTTCTATCTGTGTGTTTGTACTCATTAATTAACCTCCCTTCATCTCACAGCCCACCCTTCCCAGCCTTTTGTAACATTTGTTCTACACTGTGCCTCCATGAGATCAACTTTTTAAAACTCCTACCTATGAGTGAGAACATGTGATATTTGCCTTTCTGTGTCTGGCTTATTTCACTTAACATAATGATACTTAGTTCCATCCATGTTACTACAAATTACAATTTTTAATGGCTGAATAATATTCCATTATGTATATATACCACATTTTCTTTTACATATGTTATTTTAATTAACCTTTAAAATAAAGTTTCAAGAAGGATATATCTTCTTCTTTCTTACAATCAACATCCCAAGGCTTTGAGAAGCTAAATAACTTCCCCATTCTCTGATTATGCTATGTTAATGGATATGCTAATTACCTGGAGCTGATCACTGTGCATTACATATATTGAAACATCACTGTGTATTCCATGAATATGTACAATTATTTATCAATTAAAAATTAAAAATAAATGCATATGTAAATTACTAATACATAAAATTTTTAAAGAAATAGGCCAGGCAGAGTGGCTCACACCTGTAATCCCAGCCAATCACAACCAATATCCCAAGGCTTTGAGAAGCTAAATAACTTCCCCATTTTCTGGTAATGTTTTGAGTTTTTATTGAGCCATATAGATGGTTATGACTTCAAAGCTAGTGGTTTTTAATTAGATGCTAATCACCTAATTAAAGAAACAGATGGCCTTTGAAATTCTCTATGAAAAGTAATTATGAGACAGTATTTAATACATACATTGTAAATCTAATCTAATATATGATGGAAAAAATATGTCTATTCTAAATGTTACAATTTTCTATAATAAATGAGTAGCAGCTAATGGGTTGTAGTTTAGGAGACTTTCTTCTACCTAAAGTAGCCAAGAAAGCCTTTAGGGTGTAACTAAGATTCAAGTGGAACTTTTCAGAATTCTGATTGGTGAAGAAGGAAAGAAAAAGTAAATCCAAGATAAGAACATGGTGCACTTGAAAGCATGGAGCTGAGAAAGTTCACGTCTCTTTGACGGATAGTGACTACAGGATATGTGGTGGGAATGAGGGTGGTAACATGGGAGTGGAGTCAAATCATGGAAACCTTTGAACCCCAGGCTAACAGATGATTGGGTATTTATCCTATAGGCAACAGGGAATCATGCTTAAATTCAGCTGCAATGTTCTTAAACCAACCAGCAAAGATTTTGGAAGGTGAAATGGGAAGGAAATTTCCGTTGGAGGGAACTGTGGGTATAAGACAAGGAATGAGGCAGAGTGTATGTGTGTGTGTGTGTGTGTGTGTGTGTGTGTGCACATGTGCAAGCCTAGGTTAGAAAACATTGTGAAATAAAGATCAAGACTTGGTAAGTAACAATGTGGGGAGGAGCAGGCGATGAGTTAAGATGACGGTCAAAGCTTCAGTACTGGGAGATGGTGAAGTCATGGGTAGGCATGGTGATAAAGAGGAAGTGCTGTTTATAATGATTTCTATACCTAGCTATTTATGATGGGTTTTATATCTCCAGATATCTCAGGATTTCTATATCTCTGTTTCCTCATTAATTTGAGATCATGGAAAAATATCCCAGTGGAAGGATCCAAAAGAGAGTTGGAAACATAACACTAGTTGTTAGAAAATTGTTTGAGGGTTAGAAAATATGGTTTTGGAAGTTGTCTGCATATAGATGAAAGTTCTAGGGGTGACAATGGTTCCCAAGGGAGAAAAATGTAGGGACATCAGAGAGGAGGACACAGTCAACACTTAGCTGCCTTTCCTCATTTCATTGTTTCCATGAAACTTTCCAAGGAGCAACCCAACTTGTGGTAGAATCGGGTATGTATTTCTTGGTTACTAAAACTGCAACTCTAATTTTGGTAGTTATAAAATTGTCCATCAAGTATGATCATATGAAGAAAAAAAGGAAGGCGTGTCAAATAGGAAAACTAAAAACCTTGCTAAATCCACAAATTTCTTTAGGAAAAAATAATGCAGTACTTTTGCCGAAATCATTTACTATTGGATAGCTAAGTAAATTTTCATTTTGACATGGCTTAGAATTTTATTTCTCTAAATACATAAGTAATGACAGGATATAGTAATAGGTAGTGCAAGTATTTAGCAAAGTTAATGCTTATAGAACTGATATAACTATACATTTTCAACATAAAAGAGGCTCCAAGATATATTATCTAATGTGCCTTATTATACAAGTAATCAAAGAAAGCATCACATCTTAGTTGCTCATTACGTTCATGAGGATTATCAGGGAAAAAAGGTTCTAATAAACAGCATTTTGGGGAGTTTTGGGGATTTTCTTTGAGAGTATGAGAAAAGTATCTCTTGACCATGAGCAGTTACTCTTTGTAAGTCTAAGTATCTTTTTATTTTGTTGTTTCACTTTGTTTTCTTCAAAGGGGGCCTTGCTATACTTCACAACTAAAAAACAATACTTTGTATTTGGTAATTTTTTGTATGTGGTAAAATGCATATTTTTGTAAATAGAAGGATTAATTCTCTTTAATCTTATGTTTTATTGTATGCATTTTAAACCATTGAATATAATCTCCATGTTATCTTCATACTTACATCATCATTCTTTGGACATAGGATTTATATCTCAGTTTCATCATCATTTGTTCTGGTAGTACAGTTTTAATGTCCTTCTTCCTATTTTCCTCTTTAATTGTTTGTGTTACTCTTTTCCAACTCCTTTGAATGTGGCTACATTCTTCTGATAATAAAGTATAGAGCATCGACTGTAATTTTCCAGGTCAAATCTTAACAGAGTCATTTAAATGTCAGCAGCCATATTTTTCAAATGGAGATGCCAGGAGTATTTTATAGCTCTGAAAGCCAAACAATAATATTGTCTATAGGCACTCAAATCTAGCGCTTCAGGGAATAAACTGGAGAGTTTGTAAAGAGACAGGAAAGTGTTTCTTCCTTCCTCAGCATTTTCTATTTAACTAATTCAATATATCCACTGCGCTTTTTCATTAACATTTTTTTGCATTAGTTTCTAGTTCTATAACTATTGGTAATTGCCATAAGCAATATAGAAAATTACATAAGCCAATAATGTGGCACTGTATCGAAAGTCTTATGCCTGGGAACTCTCTTGAGCTTATAGTTCTTAATAGGTAAATTTCATTTTATGTATTATATAGAAACACGTTATTCTTCAGACAATTGTTTCAAAATATCCTATATTGTAAACTTCAGATTTTAATGAATATTGTGCAAAATGCTGAACCTCAGAGATTTGTTCTAGGAATACATTTATTAGAAATATTTTAAATTAATGCAACTTAGATTATGGGATGAGATTATACTAGATTTCTTTTGCATCAACTGTTGTCAAATGGAGTTGTCATGACTATTGCATTCAGTAATTTTAAAACAATATAAAAGATTGACACATTTTTCTCCGGGTACTATAGCTAGGAACGTCACCTGATAGTAGTAATGTACACCTCCGGTTATCATATCAAGGACTAGTTTTGGTGGTGAGAAAAAGTACAGAAAGAAGGAACAAGAGAAATTCTCTAATACAAGTGAGATTTCACCCCCTAATCCAGTTAGCATTAATCATAACAGAAACGTGGTTTTCTTTTGTTGCTGTTCTCAGGAGAGGTTAGTTTTCTATTATACTCACTCTCTTCTGTGGTAGAAAGAAATATGATAAGACAAGTCGTAGCTAACTTAAATTTCATGAAGATTTGCTTCTTTTATGAAACCATTATCGTCAACAAAGTGCCAGATGAACGGATCAATTCCTGGGGTAGTTTGGGAACTTATTTGAAAGCAGGGGCAGAAAGTCAAATTAAATTGCTTTTGTGCTGATTCGACTCATTTAGCAAGATAAATTTCCAGGTTTGATTCTCCTTTTCCATTTCTGTATTTTAAATTTCAGTCAAAATCACTTGCTCTTAGTTCTAAAATATATACCTGTGTTTGTTAAAACAAGTCTTCATTTTTTAATTTACTGGAAATAGATGGTTAAACAGAACCAGACACGTAAAATGCACCTTGATAATATTTCACACAAATTATATTTATGTAATATATGAAGTCAAACATTGGATATGAGTGCCGTAATTAGTATATGTATTCAAGTCCATAAACTGGCCATTTGCTAGTAGTAATTAAGCAACGTGCAGGGTGTCATTATTGAAAAAAAATAATTCTTTTGTCTTTGTAGTGTATTTTAAGCACAGTGTTTGGGTTCATATACCTTCTCACGTGTTGATCAATTTTCACATTTATTTATCTTTAATACTAGTTGTTCTTTTATAATCATGGTGTTAAGTTCTTGATACAATTTTATTGAATATACAATGTTAAGATGCTTATAAAACACTGAGACTTTATAATTGTTACCAAAACATATTTTATTTAGAACAAAACATCGAAACATAGCTTTAATTAGTTCTGGGAAATGATCATTGTCAGGCTATAGATCCTAGGAATGACCAATATTTCTATATGATACTGCAAAGAAGATCTTCAAGGTACAAGAGTACCAACTACAAGGAAAACCAAAAATGTAGCCACATAACTGTTTCATCATTCTTATAATTGATGACCCCTTTGAAAGTATGTTTCTGTTAAATGTATTCTCAGCCCATGCTTTATTCCCAGTAGGTAACAAAAGCATTATTGGGATTAGTTGCCACAATTTAAACTCAATTGATGTGTTGAGCCTTGTGTCCACTTGGAAATTTATCAGAAAAGACCGAGAGTAGCTAATTTAATCTTGCTTTTTATGGCTTTTGACAGGCAAGGTCCTTGCCTGGCCAGTACAGACATATTCTGTCATTATATCCACTTTTTGTTTATAATGATGTCAAGTCTGGAACTAGGAATAGTGCCCTTGTACTTGCAAAGCATCTCTTTCACTTGTGACAGGTTACACTTTCTCGGCTGTTGATGATTCCATTTCGTCTTGTTCTGAACATAGGAAGTGCTTTAAATTTGCTTTTTTGTTTCTTTTTTCTTTTTTTTTTTTTTTT